TTCCCTACAACAACCAGACCCTCATCGACATCTACATCACCGGAACCGGCAGCGGTGGCACCGCCGCTGCCTCCCCGTGGGTCATGGCCATGGAGAACCTCAAGATCCAGGGTCTCCCCCACTTGGTCAATGCTCTGCTGTTCACTACCATCTTCTCCGCCGGTAACACCTACGTCTACTGCGCGACCCGGTCCCTGTACAGCTTGGCGCTCGACGGTCGCGCCCCGGCCCTGCTCCGCAAGACCACCAAGAACGGTGTGCCCGTCTACTGCTTCGCCGTCACCATGGTCTTCCCCTTGCTCTCCTTCCTGCAGTGCGGCAGCGGCTCCGCAAAGGTGCTCAACTGGCTGCTGGCCCTCATCACGGGCGGCGGCGTTATCAACTACCTCGTCATGTCCATCACGTACATCAACTTTTACCACGCATGCAAGGCCCAGGGCCTCGACCGCAAGACGCTGCCCTACTGCGGATACCTCCAGCCCTACGGTGCCTACGTTGCCCTCTTCCTGCAGACCATTGTCATTCTCGTCTATGGATGGTCTGCCTTCCGTCCCAAGTTCGATGTCGGAGGCTTCTTCTCCAACTACACGATGCAGCTTGTCGCGCCTCTCCTGTTCATCTTCTGGAAGGTCCTCAAGCGCACTCACTGGCTTAAGCCCCATGAAGTGGACTTGACATGGGACCGCCCCATTATCGAGGCCTATGAGCAGCACGCTATGGTGCACGAGCCCCCTACCACCTTCTGGAGGGAGATGCTCCAGATGATTGGAATTGGTCGCAACAAGGTGATCAAGGGCGAGAAGGTTTGAAAGAGTAATCCTTATGACGATGGTGGATGGCGCGTGATACCCCAGTGTGCTAGAATATACGGTCGGCTACATGTATGCAGCGTAATATAAAAGTTACCATCACTACTTGTCAATGTTGGAAAAGTTTCAATCACCACAGAATTATCCCGTTCACTTGAGGCGCCCTTCCTGAGATTGCTCTGGGCTATTGAAGAAGTCTCAAGTACCACTTATGTTCCGCAACTTCTCCGTACGCAATGCACGAATGATGAGTACGGAGTGACAAGACCGTATGTCGCATTGTTGCCTACGCTTAAGTACGCACATAGCCTTGTACCTCACTGCCCTGCAGCAGTTGATCGACGCGGTGGATATCCTAAGTCAGTGAGACCGTCAGCGCTAGCACTGGAAGGCACTGAAACACGGCTCATTTTCATACTTGAACACTGCCTCGGCTGATGCGCTCATCTCAAGAGACATGTCTTTGCACAACAACTCAAAAGTAGGAAGGGTAGATGTAGTTGAAATGGGAATGGTGCGACAAGCTCACACGTCGCTTCACTTTGCAGCACTTCTGCTTATTTACCAATCTAATCACTACGTAAGGATTCCACGTATTTTCAGGCGCGACGAGTGACAAGGCCTTCATATCATCCTAAGGAAAGAAAGTGGGGTTTCCCGTCCCATTATCGGAAATTGCTGGTTTTCAACTCCCATCTCATTCTAGCATTCGATCTATCAGCTCAACACAGAGCCACGGACGGTCTACTTGAACCGGTTGCAGCGATTAGAAAGCACTCTCAGATGATACCAGTGTGGCCTTACATAAGGACGTTCACAGCTCACTCGTGTCGAGATTTTAAGCATCTGCACTTCTTATGTTTAATATTTCGACTGTGATCGATCCGTGGCTGTGAACTTTGCAGGAGGGAAAGTTGAAAAGGTGGAAAATCCGGGGGAAAAAAATGGTCTATTGAGACAGTGAGAGTTTCCACTGATACTGTGTATTACTACTGTGTAAAAGATAACGAGAACCGCCCGAGCGATGAGTAAAGGCAGAATAACCAAAACAAATACTTCGACTTTTCTCAGATGTCTTGATTTAGGTTCCGCGGCGGGGGGGGGGGGGGGGGGGCGAGGGTTCAAAATAGATTCTCACACGCTTAAGACACACGAATTCTCTCACTTTAGAGGTGCCTTCTGTTCTCAAGCATCATGATTATCGCCATTTGCGTAGTTGAAAGGTTCTCGTATTGATATCTGATAATGGTCTCCGGTTTGTCTGTTTCCAGTCTGAGCCACCTGCACGCTTGCATGATTCGCGGATTATCATGTCTTTGGGCAGACAAGGGCCACCGACCACGACTGCGGTTGCATTGTGGCTTGCAGGAGCTGAACTTTCTATGCAGCCACCCCATAAGTCGCTGACTAGTTGGAATTGGGCCGTTTCCCAGAAGGCATTGTGCCAGGCAGAGATTGTGCAGGCCGGTAGGCTCCAGCAGGCAATGGCGAACCATTTGATTAGTCTTCCAATTATATTAAGACTGAGACATTTTGCCCATTATCATCGGATTATAGTTGCTTTCATATTATTCCTCGGACTTTGATGACTGAATCAATCATCATACGATGACATTTCCGCAATCCTGATCAATGGCTGAGCTAATCTTATCACCCATGGCTCGAGCCAAAGAACATCCTCATAAGGAGCCATGCACTGAATGCTTGAGACTACCGACAAAGTTGTTCGAACCAGGCTCGACCATCTCGCATTCATTTTATAACTGTGACAGTGCCGTTGAGAAAATTCAGCTCTCAGCTCAACAAGGATGTCATTTCTGTACCTTGATATTCGATGCGCTTGAAGCAGGGCAGAAAGGCGACTCTGGAGTTACCATTGACAAAACTGGAATTGTACTGAGGACTGTCTGGACTACCTCACGGCCCCAGTATTGGCACCCGAAGTCACCGGTTTACTCCATGCTCAGACCCGACGAAATGCACATCACTACCCCTACCAGGAGGGATTCTCTGGATAAAAGATCCGGTCCGTTTTTGACGCTATCCTGGGGCAATCGCGTCACTCAGCTTCGCTTCAACGCCCACTCTGATGCCATTTCCAAGAAACCTAGTACGTACGTGACGAACTGGGACTCATATAGCCAAACAAAGAACTTTGAGCTAGCCGAGAAGCAATTTTCCCCTTTGGCGGCACAGGCAGACTCCCCCAAGGTGTTTCAGCTTCTGAACTCCTGGCTGGATGAATGCCAGAAAAGGCACAGCGAGAAATGCGCATACGTGGGGGAGCTTGTTTTGAAGCACAAATTCGCTTCGCCTACAAGACTACTACGTGTCGGCGAGGAAGCCGAAAACATTGTCCTGGTGCTCTCGGCCGGTTTGAAGCGAGACGAAGGCGGCTTCGGGCCCTCGTACACCGCCTTGAGCCACTGTTGGGGAGATCCCAAAAGTGTGCCACAAACGACAAAGGCGAATCTGGAGCAGATGATGCGTGTCGGTCTTCGTCATGAGGAGTTATCTCCAACATTCCGGCATGCCGTGAAGATTGCGAGAGAGCTTAATATCGGGTGGCTCTGGATCGATTCTTTGTGTATTGTTCAAGACGACAAGGCCGACAAGGACCGCGAGCTGCCACTGATGGAGATTATCTATTCCATGGCTGTCTGCACTCTTGTCGCATCGGATTCCAAAGATGGAACTGGCGGTTGCTTCTTCCCTCGAGGTCCCAATCCAGATATGCACGTGCGGCCTTGCACAAAGACTTTTGACGAAGTAAGGACCAAGATGTCAGTCACCTTCCAGCCCTACATGACAGACTGGGCCCAGTCGATAACCAACGGCCCCTTATTTTCCCGTGGCTGGTGCTTCCAGGAGAGGCAGCTGTCGAAAAGAATCATCTACTTTACCAAGAGCCAAGTACTCTGGGAATGCCGGGCTTCCATCGCATCCGAAGCATACCCTCAGATCAGCAGTTGGTTTAGTCGATCAGAGCCCCCGTTTATGGCTCCGCCCTTCCGCGTCACTTGGGCTCGGATAACCGACAGAACAATGCTATTCAATAGCTTCGAGCGGGTTCAGCCGTGGTTAGATGAGTGGCTCCGCGTTGTCGAAGCCTATTCCGGCAAATCTCTCAGCAAACTAGAAGATCGACTTCCTGCGATCGCCGGTGTAGCGGCGCACTTTCAGCAAAATATACGCCGGCCCGACCGATTTCTCAGCAGCTATGTAGCTGGGATGTGGTTTTGTGATCTCGAGAGAGGACTTTCATGGAAGCCGTCCTTCGACCTTAGTACACATAGACCAGCAAAAGACAAGGGCTGGCCCCCGCCCCTCAAGAGTTCCGCGACATTCAGTGCTATTCCGGCAACACAATCTGAGACCCTATCCATGTGGCTTCCGTCCTGGTCATGGATTTCAGTTGATGGTCGTGTGCGGTACCCGTACGCCAGAGGTTCCTCCCAAAGGCCGACTGAGATTGGAATGGGCGGTATGGAATGGCTCAATCCGAAATCTAAGAATTTCAACGATTTATCGGTTCCTGATACGCCTCTTGAACCGTTCTTCGGCCGCACTTCGCTCAAGACTGACTTCGAGTTTGGAGGGCTCGAATGGGGGGTTATAGGCCTCACAAACTACGCTGTGGAGACTGTTATCTCCGAGAAACATCTCATAACAGATTCTGTTACTGTAACAGGAACTCCCAAGTGCTATTCGATGTTTAAGCAAATCGCCAATCCCTTCAAACTTACCAGGCGTTCAGAGCCATCGGCCGGCGGCGTTGTCATCATGGATACGAGCCCATTTCTGCTTCCAAAAACAAAGTTGTACTGCTTGAGACTCGGCAACTCCAAGAGTCTGTTTAACAACGAAAACTTGGTCGAGATTGGCCTAGTTCTCTTGGAGACGCCTTACAAGTCTATGGCTAGACTAAGTTCCAGCTGGCATTCGAGATCTGGTCCAGTGGTACAAAGAGTTGGCTTTTTCGAGATTGGCATGTGGGATAAGCAATGGGTTAAAAACGCTCGGCAAAGAACCTTCTACATCATATAGCTTCAATTTGCTTTTTCTTGTGTCGTCAGTGGCGGTGGTGTGTACTTATCTCTTGCTATCAGAAGGTCACATGCTCGATGAAAATCTTGAAAGAACTTTCAGTCATGAACGAATCTTCATAGTGTCGTATATTGCACGTCTAGCTTAGTGTCCAACCATAGCCTGCTGGGTTGGGTTGTATCTGTTTCCGTGCGGCTTGGCTGCATCGATAATTTTCCGCATCTCCACTCTCTCCTCATCAGAGAAAACAACGTCTCTTGATACCCAGTTCTCTTCCAATCTCTTGGCCTTTGTTGTGCCAGGGATAGGAATCATGCCCTGCGCGGCAACCCAGGCAAGAGCAATCTGAGGCAGAGTGACTCCCTTACGCACAGCAAGTTTCTTGATCTCATCAACGATAGCCTTGTTCTTGTAGAAGTTCTCGCCCTGGAACTTGGGACCTTTACATAGTTTTATTAGCGCCTGGGCGACATAGTTTCTTGTTTCCAGTTGTAACTCACTTCCGCGACGGAAATCGTTTGGTGCAAAGTCGTCTGGGCTCTTGTACTGGAAGTCATCAACGAGCCATCCGTGACCCAGGGGGCTGTAAGCCACGTAAGAAACTCCGAGCTCCTTGGCAGCTTCAATCAACCCGTCAGTCTCGTGAATGGTCTCGAAAGCTGAGTACTCGGCTTGAAGAGCATCGATCTTGGCAACTACGGGTTGTTAGTGAAGGGTCTGAGCACGTCTAAAAGTGAGACTTACTTGAGTTGGCCTTGCGAAGGGTGACAGCTGAGCACTCAGAAAGACCGATGTACTTCGTCTTCCCGGCCTTGCGGATCTCATCGAGCGCTGTGATGGACTCCTCGAGAGGCGTGTCTAAGTACCTGTGAGTGGAAGTTTCCTCTCATCTTCATTCGTGGCTTGGAAGCTTACTGGGGTCAATGCGATGAAGGTAGTAGAGGTCAGGGGTGAAACCAAGTCTCTCAATAGTGCCCTCGATGTACTCCTTGATGTGAGAAGCAGAGTTGGTGATGCCGCCAGAGCCAAAAACGTCAAATCCACACTTTGAAGCGACTGAAAGTACAAGAAAGTCGGTTACAGCCAATCAAGTGAGAATACTTGGGGACCACTGACTGAACACCTTGTCGCGAACGTTGTGCTTTCTAATGAAGTCGCCGAGAAGCTTCTCGTTGACACCAGCCTGGTAAACAACCTAGTCACGAAGAGGTTAGTGCCTCGTGGAAAGCATATACGCAAATAGGGATCATGCGCAACGGTGTTGAGGGGACTGTTTGACAGCCATTGACTTACTGCTGTATCCCAGAATGTGCATCCGAGCTCAATTGCCTTGAGGAGAACGGGTTCAGCCTCTTCCAAGCTCAGATTGCTTCCCAGGCCGAAACTCAGACCCATAGCGCCGAAGCCTGGAGAGTTGACTTGGATGTCCTGGAATTGGAAAGTCTTGGCCATCTTGATCAATTTTGATTGTTGTATTGGTTGTACTCTAGACGTGATTCCGTGAGTTTGAGTGATCTGCTACTTCAACGATGGAAAACGGTCTTGGCTACGAGGTCATTTAAGATGCGTTGGTGAATGCATTCCCAGTGACGTAGCTGCAGCGAAAACGACATGGCCACGGAGTTACGGCGATAATATGCGACTGGCTGACAACTAGAACGTGGATCCAATGATCTTCGTCCCACAATATGGCGCCACGAAACTTTGCCAAACACCTCAAAACTGTGCTCGAGCCAATGAACGATTTTTTACTTAGCCGGAAATAATATATCATTCTCCGAGATCCTGGATTTAAGGAAGTTAGACAAGCTGATGTGAACTCTCCAAGTCTTTTGTATAAGTCGCATTCGGTCTGGAACTCTTGGTCAGTGCATGAGTCGCATAACAATACTGGCACTGCCGACATGCCGTCGCCTCGATGACGCTAAGTCAGAGAAGACGGCTTTCGCCGGAATATTACCTGCTGAAGCATCGGCAAAGCGGCACCCTACCAACAAGGCAAATCTTTTTACTCAAGAACAGCCTGGCTACCTTATGGTCTGATCAATATCCTTCAGTAGTATCGATCCGGCAAATTGTCTGTCTCGGGAAACTGTGCGCCCACTCCCAGTCCACGCATCCAATTTCAACTCAGTTGGCACTCGTCTTCACAATCTGATGAGCGATTGTATATGACATCTGATCTCTGTCTGCAGCATCTATAACGAAGACTGGATCTCAGATCCATTTGTACACTATCATTGCCGAACCGACTCGGCCGAGTCATGCCTGCTAGGGGTAGGAGCTTGTATTCACGACTTGACGTGATCAGAACAAGCAGCTAACTGATGTCACTATTCCGCAGTGGGCCTTGGCCATCCACTTTGTAAATTAACTACCTCCCTTTTCGCGCTGACAGCTTCGGTAATAGCAGTACTATCTCTAACTCCATGCAACTCAGGAAGGCTTGAAATACGGCACTTCCGCAAGTCGAACCATTTCAATTCATCTTCTACTAATGTTTCTCATTTCGATACCCTGCTCTCATTCTGTTCTGAATCGACCAACACAATGACGTTGCGACTATTCGGATTTCAATTGTTGGGACTGGCAGCTCTCCTATCCTTGCCAGTCTCATCAGCCCCTACTACTGGTTGCGATTGGCGGAACGCAAGTGAGGTCACGATATTGCAGTCCGTCCCCGGAACACAATCGCTCGAGAACATTGCGGTTCGGGAGAATGGAAACCTTCTAGTCACATCCACAGCCTCCCCAACCCTTTTCGGTCTATCGCCAGAAGCCGAGTATGCGCCAGTTCCTGTTGTCACTATCGACGGTGTTAACAGCCTCCTCGGAATCACTGAACTCGGCGAGAAGGATGTCTTCTACGTCCTCGGGTCAAACCTGACCGCAACCGAAAACTCAAATGGCTTGTGGAAAGTCGACCTTCGCAACTTCCGTACCTCGCACAACGGAAATGTGCTCCAGCCAGCTGTGCTATCGCTCGTCACACTTATCCCATCCGCTCTTCAGCTCAATGGCATGGCACGTTTGGCCAAAAATGATACGCAGAACCTGCTCATGTCCGACTCTGGCCGAGGAACCGTCCTCAGACTGAACGTGTACACTAAAGTTGTCGAGACGGTCCTTGCTGAGCCCGAAATGGCTCCAATTTCATCGAGTTCGAGCATCGGCGTTGCCGTCAACGGCATTCGCATCCGGGATAACAAACTCTATTTCGTGAGCTTGGACCAAGGCCTATTCGGCAGAGTCCCCATCTCTCTTACCACCGGAACGGCCACTGGCTCCGTGGAGACTCTGGCCACCAACATCACTTTTGGTGATGACTTTGCCTTGTCGAAAGACGGTAAAACAGCCTATGTTGCCACAAACGGTCCTCTGGAGGTTCTCGGAATCGATTTGGTACACGGAGGAAAGACCGTTGTTGCATCCTCGCCCCTTCTTGGGGCTGCATCTTCGGTAGCTCTGGACTTCCACCACCCTCGCAGGGTGTTGTACGTGACGGGCGCTGTGTCATCCGGCAATAGCACTGTTGGCCATGTGTCCCGCATTACTTTGAGGTGCTAGGCTGAAGAATGAGGAACATCACAGAGCACTTTCCTCTCGTCTCTTTAGCAGTCGCGATGCTAGTGTCAATAATTTGTATCTAGGGAAGGTCTCTTTAATAGGATCATCGTTTCATAGCACCACTTGTACCAGCGTACTGAAGATGGAACCGGAGTGACAAAACAAACGGGGTATTATTGATCAAAACTCGCTATCTAAATGCTCTTCTTCCGCTCTTCCCACCAACTATGCAACGGCGGAGCTCCCGAGCATATAATGTTTATCGGCGTCTCCAACAGGAATCGATCGATGGCTTCAGGTGGACCAACGTCGAGATCATCAAGTCGAAAGAGGCTCTGACCGTTTTCGCGTAGCATGGACGAGAATTTTGGTACTATTTCTGGGACTGCCAACAGCTTGTAGCCCCTCTCTAGGAGGCCAGTTCCTGTCATGGCGTCGATCACAGCTTTTGCTGGTTCGACTTTTGGAACGATCAGCCTTCAGTCATAGATGATAGCTGGCTGAAACACAATTGAGATCGATGACTTACCCATGCCGTACTTCTGCATCTCTCGCTCAGTCTCGATGATTCGGTATTTGGTGAACAGGGGGTTCGTCGTCTCCAGCTTTCGTGCTTGGATATGCATGTTGAGAAGGTTCACCTCGAACGGTCCGCCATGCGTAACCCACGCAGTCCAGAAGTCTTGCTTGTGAACCTTCTCAACATACTGAACCAGATCCTTGATCATATCCTTCTCAAAAATCCATTCCACACTCTCCAGGTTCCAAAAGGCGGGTCCGAATGAGTCCATAGATCGATCTAGAACGTTTGCAGCGGCGCCGATAAGTCTCCGCATGAAATCGTCGTTGGTCATTCTTGACCTCCAGATTGTGGGTGCCTTGACATAAGCATCAAAGGTTTGACGCATGCTGAACGGCTGCACTGCAATAGCCTCAGAGTCCAGCCAGAGCGCGTAGTCATACTCAAGCTCCAGCGCTGCTGACATCTTTTTGATTGTCTGATATTGGTACTTTCCACGTTCTTTAAGAAGTGCCGACGTATCATCGCCCGTGATTTTCCCGGTCGTCATGGAATGAAATACAGGGGGCAGAATGTCGAACATGTTGATGATGTTGATTTTCGGTTTCGGCCCGTGAATGTTCATCACTGGCGTCGGGAAAATACTGTAGGTTGGCCCACAGGACTTCAACTTCTTCATTGCATCTTGAAACATTACAACCTCGTTCGAGTCTGACACGACGACGTGGAAATCGATTTTCGACTGATCTGTACAAAGGCACATATAAGACTGCAGGAACTCCATCGCCAGCGGCATGTGTCCACTCTATATTTGATTAGCAACTATAATCTCTGTCTCCAGCGACTAGAACTTACAAATGTCGGAAGAATGACGGCATACTTCAACTCCTTCAGCCTCTGCGAATCTGACGTCTCGTTCTTGTTCGATCCGAGGTAATACATCTCATCTTCTTCATTATTTGCGCCATGTTGATCGTACGAACTTGCGTGACTGGTTTGCGTTCCGGTCCTTTCTCTTGAGAAGTCGATTGAATGAATGTCGAAATGTGGCCATATGGTATGACTGAAGAACACCACTAAAATCACAATACCACTCAGACAACTCAAGTACAGCCACCGAGCCTCTCTGGCCGACGTAGAAAATGGCTTCGTCAATATCATGGTGTGCCGTCGTCCATTATCCTCCTAGAAAAAGTTGCATCCCATGAAAATTAACCCACAGCAGCTTAATGCCCTCCGGTGGTAGTAATGGCGTTCTCTTCCACTTTATACCATAGCCATTGACATCACTCTTGTACGCCCACCGGCACCGTAGGTTTTCCATCGCATGGTCTGCCTATTAACTTGTTAAGGCCTGCCCGATTTCTAGCCCAGGGTAGATGGACTGTGGGGGAGGGGCTATGCCTTATCATCAGTTCATCAGAGATGCCGATAGACATTGACTGTCTCGAAAATGTGAGTTACTAGGGTTCAACTCGTGATATTAACTTTGCCGCTGAAACGCTCGCATTCCGTCGAAGCCGTTTGGCCCGGCCTCTGTTAGCCTTGATTGCGTCTCCCCCACACGCGAAATATCCTTCCCCATTGCCACTTGTCATGAACTGGACCATCGGAACTGATTTCGACTGAAATTGACAGTCCGTGGTGATGGTTCTCAAGGCCCCCCCATGTTACGTCGCATCCCTTTGCCTTACCGAGTTGCTTTTGGTCGATTTCTTGCGGGGCTGCTAAGCTTCAGAACGTCCCATCCGCGCGGCTACCCCGTCGCACAAGCATCCACTTGCCCTCCCGCCGGAAAGCTTGTCTGATACTTGGTCCCCGCAAGCAGGCACGCCCGTGCTAATGATGCTCGCTTTCCCAGTCTGGCGGCCTGGTGTGGATGGAACGGAGGATTGATGAAACCCATCATCGGCGGGATGTCTGCTATCATCTTGTAAGTCATCTGAACAGTTCCTTGGTGACAGCGAGATCACTGCAACGCAGCTATGGTTGTGTTCCTTTAATGGAGTCGAGAATTGTTCGGTCGAGGTAGAAATACGAAAAAAGTTTGCGCAGATAATTTCACAACGGGACAAACGCGACCGAAGGTTTGCTCATCGTCAATCTGTGACTTGTAAGATGCCGACAGAGTGGCCACTCAATTTCCCCCGATTTGAGTTTCTGCTCGCCATTCGGTTTACGCCGGTGACCCTTGACGCCCTATGCCAGACGGTCCACTCACATTCGACTGACATGTGGGCATAACAAAGTCTGACAATATTAACTCCAGAGTTTGTATGACACTAAGAATAATCCAGCAACTGCAAGAGAACAGCGTCGTAATCCACTCTTAACTGCCTACAGCTCGTATCGTCAATCAGAGACAGCACACTTAACTACATGATCCGATATGATTTCACAAATCTTCCCCACCGCCGTCAGCGACTCGCTCAGATTGTTCCTTTATTTGGAGATAGCGCTCCTTTACTGGCACACTCTCGTATGCATCATGACCCCCAGCCTTCTGGTACCAGTAAGCAACCACAGCGTATAGACATTTATTGCCCGAGCCCCAGTCATTGGGTTTATACTTCTCAATGTAGGCCTCGAAGCTTTTGTGGAAAGGCACGTCATCACACACGTGGAAGCGACACACTGATGTGTGCCCGTTGGCATCTAGCTCAATGTAAGGTTGGCAGGCGTAAGCGCTGTCAAAAGTCGGGAATGGCGGTTCGGCTGCCCACGCGTAGCCCACATAATCTTCTGAACCAGTGCCAAAGGTTGATGGGAACTTTTCGCCGTCGACGAAGAACTTCTCGTCTCCCTCGCCCCACCACCAGTCGATGGACTTCTCGCCGCCGACGCCGTACCACCAGTCCTTTGATGGGACCTTGGGGTCTTTCCAGCGGTTCCACACATGCATCTGCACGCCGCAGAATCTTCCGGGGCCATTATCTAACATTAATAAAGGCCAGTCGATCTCGCGGCCCTCTTTCTTCGGCTTCTCGAGGAAGGCATCTCGGTGCCACTTGGCGTGGAACCGAAGCATGTGTTTCGCAGACTTTTCCAATGGGCGGTGGCAGATGGTGAAGAAAAGCTTCTGCTCCTTCTTCCCATCGTTGACCAGCTTGATCTCGGCGCGATCGGAGAATGGCATGAACCAGTGACTGTAGAATCCACCCCCGTCTGTTGAACCCTGGGGCAAAGAACGGTAGGTCTGGATGCCAGGAACGCTACCAAAGAAGTCACCCAGTGGTGCCCAGATACTTGGAGACTTGTCGTGATCCCAGGTGATCTGGATAGCGAGCTCCCGGAGAATCTGAGCGACGTGATGAGAGTCCTGGACCAGGTCCAACGGCACCACGCGCATGCCAGTGATTGCTCGGTTGCCCGTCAACTCCCGAACGGTATGGGTCTTACCCGGTTTAATAGTGACAGTCAATGTTTCCATCATGTCGCCCTTTGAACGAGGCAGTGCGGACCAACCACGTTGACTCAGTTCGCGGTCAGCTGCTGCCAATGCCAGACAAGCCTCTCGATCGAAGTTGCCATCAAAGTGCGGAAGCGTAGTGTGTTTGGGAAATGAGGTGTAGGTGAAATGATAATACGCTCCCCAGCCAGGTCCGAGGCGGATCTTGGCATACTTATCATACGGAATGGGAATGAAGCAGTTACGTCCTCTTGACAGAGTCGGCGTTATCGAAGGGAAATTGTGTGGCATTCCCTGAAACCGATCGAATAGGTCCCGGAAAGGCATATCAATGACAGGCTTGTCATCATGCTCGTCGTCAATGAAGATCTGGATGCGGCCGACATCTGGCATCGCGGACCAGGTCCGCCAGATGACGCCTGGGCCCCGCTGCTCAAAGGCGACTATCCACTCGCCTTCTTCGCGGATGATGCCTCGTCCATCGTCGTTGGCGTCCCAGTCAATGTACTTGTCTTCCTTTGGGTCATAGCGTGAGGCCCGGTCATAGCTCGACATACACCCGCCGCGCTCTCCGGGCAACGGGGATTCAGCAAGACGTTCAAGGTCGTAGAGCCGTCGCACGAGGTCGGGATATGTCAGATGCATTGTTGGCAGCGAATTTCTTTTTTTTTTGTTGGAGACGATCAAGTCCTGGGAAGCGGGGCTTTGAAATTTCGCTTCACCGGTTCGAGACGCCGCTGCGATTCCTCGACGTCTTATAACTGTTGGGGTAAAACTGCAAGGCCAGCTCTGCATGACTAGCATAGAGTTTGTAGCAGGTCAGGATCGGCCCCTTGGTTCTGATTAGACTCGTTCTTTGGTGTTTGTCATGAAACATGTCGGTGTCTTCCAGCGGCCTCGCTTCTCGTTTCCACGCGTCATTCGGTAGTCTACCATATGTAGTAATCGGCAAGGCAGTCCTTCGCGTGCATTTTGCATTTTACGTCCGATGTCTGACGCTGAAATATAGCCTGCTTGTTCTTGAATATCGCATGAAAACATTGCTTCTGTTGGACCTTCAACTTCGACGTCAGCAGCTTTTTGAAAGGGCCACAATGTCGCCCGTCCGCTATGTGCACGAGACTTCATTTGCCCGAGGCTTCTGATCGATGATATACCAGTCCAGAGCCCTTCAGCTTTATGAAATCAACAACTCAATACCAAGTTCCCGCTGAAAGCGCTTTTTCACACACCCGATAAGCCGGGAACATGCGATCATGATGCTACACCATTCGGGCTTACGATGCCAATCCAACGGCTCGCAATGATAGGAAAGAGCGAGTATGCTAATGTCAATAAGCCGAACCTTCCGCCATTCTTTTCGACAACACTCCTCCATCATATTTAGGGCGTCCCGAAGCTCTTCCACACTCTCCTGCCCATTTATATGGTACAGGGCATTCGCGTCTATACCCACGGTGAACTCAATGGTCTCGACAGTCGCCGCGAGATTCGGAAAACCGTCGCAACTCGGAATTATCTCGTGTTTGACTGCTCCGAAAAGGTCTCTGATCAGCTCTACCTTGAGATGCTTCACCCGCCGAAATTGCCGTAGAGGATAATAATAGTACGCAGACTCTTTGACGAGCCAGGCACATGTCTCGACGGTATCGGCCAGAGGGCGTACATTGCAGACTTCTGTATCCTTATCCTCAGTGCAGTAGGTATTATCGATGGCGAGCACTTTGAGTGAAGGCATACGTTCGAAAATGTTCTTTTGGGGTAATTCGCAGTGGTAAAAGTGCGCTTCGATAAGCTGTGGGAGATGAGGGAAGTTTCCCTCGATATTGGTACAATGTCTCAGTGCCAAATGCTTCAATGAAGGGAGAGACGACAGCATTGGGATCCAAAACCCTTTTCTGTATGAATCACCGCAGTAGATGTCGAGGCTCCTCAAGTCTTGCAGCTTCGACGAGACTGTCTTGGCAAAGATGTTGCATGTGGCATCATCACGTAGCCCCTTTCTTCGAATTAAGGTAGGTCCAACTCAAGTCTCATATGTACACTCGGTCTTGTAACTGGAGAAAAGGTCGTCCTCGATAAGTTTCTCGGCAATGACGAGCAGCACCTCAAATGGTAGAGAAGTTAGCGCGGCCGGAACCATCTCATCTGACAAGGTAGCCTGGCTCTTCGGGTGCGAATGAGGAAATTACATTTTGACGATGTGTCTTGAGATCGGTGTATTGACTGTCCTGTTGCAAATTGTTGGCTCACTGTCAACCTTCAGTACAATATTCACCTCCTTATGTCGGGGAAGAAGAGTGCAATGGAGAAACCTAGGTTGACTTAACCCTCAGGGAACCCGATGCTGACCTTTCTCCGAAACATACACAGTTGTGCAGGTTGCCTGTAGCAGCCCTGCACTCTGAAGAGGAACTCTGTCGATATCTGGATAACAAGGTACAGTACTTCGACCACTTAACACCTTCCCTTTGATTGAAGTTGGTCTCTATCTTAGTCGGCAGCGGCGTCGTCTTTGCCCGCTCAGCGGGCCAGCTGGAAAAGAAGGGGGGGGAAAGGGGTTTACAATCGCAATTTCTCACAACCTGGTGAATTTGCAAATGCTGTTTAGCTTTTTATACAGAGCGTGCAGCTGATATAATAGATAGAATAGTAGTTTATAATGGTCTATCAATAATAATCGACCAGCTCTGTCATCTTGCCGGTGGCCAGACTAGATGATAACCTTGAGGGCACAGAACACGTCCACCTTGGGATAACGTGGTTCTCAATCGCAAGCAAGCCCACTAATCATCCATGTCTCACGCGCATAGATTTGGTAAATATGCTCTTCGGATGTCATCAAATATAAAGGTATCTAACCTTGTCGAACTAATTACAATGTCCATGGCAGCCAGTGTATATCCTCACCAGGGCGTCCCCACGAATTCTTCAACCAGACAAGCCCTGCAACAAGACGATGTCAAGTTCCTCTTTGAAAACTCTGACATAATCCAGCGCAAGCTTGCGCAAGAGGGCTCTCTCTTCCTCCGTTCTGCACGTCTCATCATCATCAGCAATGGCCCGAATGTCAAGAACTCGGACCTGCTTATACACATCCCGGCACTTTCTGAACAGAAAGTTGAGCAACATCTCCATCTCTTCCGAACTCGGCTCCTCCGAGTCTGGCTTATAATCTGGCCAAGGATATGGTGAAGACTTTGGCCAAGCAGATTCATCGAGTCCGTTCCATCTCCCATCTTTCGTCAGCAGCTGAGGCACATGTCTCAGGTCAAATCTGCCATCGAGAAGCTCAATCGTCTCAACAGTCTTTCCAGTAGCGCAGCTGTCGTCGTCGCCACACATGAGCTCCAGCAGACTCGTCACCTTGAGGTGCTTCACCGCCCTGAGCCCACGCGCCTGTAGTGGATACGCCAATGTTGAGAAGTTCCTGGTATGCCAGGAATATGAGGCTCCCAAATCGCACCAAGTAAACGTCTCCAACGTGTCTGCAAACAGCGCAAAGGCTTGAGCGTCGTGCGGGAGCTCGATGTTCCAGCTACGTCCGATAATAAGAGTGCGCAGCGCTGGGAAGCATTGGAATAAGTCCTTTTGGGAATAGAAGCCGCCTCTGCCAATATCGCAGCTGTAGAGACACAGATCCGTGACCCGCGGTAAGGCGGGCATATCGGCCTCTATGAAGTCGCAGACCACATTGTCCAGGTGTCTCAAGACCAGACGCTCGAGACCGGGAAGCTTGGGAATGGCGCTGAACCAGTGTGCCAGGGGCCGTATACATAGCCCTCCATAGCGTCCCACGTCGCCGGAGAGCTCGAGAGTCCTCAATCGGGTCAATCCGGAAGGGTCGAATAGTTTTGGTGGCACAATTAGCCCTACCCCAGTGTTGTGTTCATAGTCTATCCGTAGTTGTCTAACCCTTTGCTGAAGGTCGGCTCCTGACGAGAACAGTGTGTTTCGTAGCGTGCGTGAGTTTATCAACCCCTTGTCGTCCATAACGACGATACGTCTGTAGAGAATTTCGGCACAGATGTCTGAGAATCGGCCGTTGACCCGCGCCAGATTGAGTAAGTCATTTCTACTCTGAGGGTCCTTGGGATGAATATGCTCTTTGAGGGCTACAGATTTCCGGTAATGTCCCATGTCGCGCGATGACGCGTGTTTGTATTCCAGCACTTTGACATCGTCGCCTGGAAAGGGGGGAGATTCGTCAACAAGGTGACCGAAGATGAGTAGCAGAGTCTCGGTGGGAAGTTGGTTGATAGGCATTGTAAAAAGCCTTGTGCGTATCGAATTTGCGTCAATGTCTTTGAATAGATACGTAGACTGATGTGTCTAGAGGTATGAAGTAAGGTATCAGCTGGAACTACTGTCGAGGGAATCGCCCTAGAATAAGTACTATCAAGTAAATGCTTCTCCGATATCAATTCATTGGCGAAAAACATGCTTTCGAGCTGCCATCCGGGTGAAGAAAAGGAAGGTACCCTGAGAGCAAGAGATGCAGACCCTCGCTGGTCGTCAGAAAGCTTGATATTGCCATCGTTCAGAGATGCCCTTAAGCATAAGTAATAGCAAAAGTTCTCGGCGTCTAGAGCGATTCAGACGGGCCTACGCATGGAAGTAAGCTATCCAATAAGCCATACCCTCAATAAACCCCCGGAATGATAGTCCACTTTCTCCCAACCTTCTCCTCCCCAAACTGCCCAACATACCATCGCCTCCCGCTCCTCGCCCTCGGAAACATGACGAAAATCTCATTTAAGAAGAACGCCCTTCCAGGTACGCTCCACCCGCTCGCCATCCAGAACCCAAACCACTCCACCCACTCGCAAAAGTAATGCGGATACAGCATATACCGGAACAGCATTGTGTCAGGCAACCGATAATGTTTATCAACGCCTTTTGCCTTGTTCGTATCACCATCCAGCTTCTGTTGCTTCGCAATCTTGGCCTGACGCCGCTGCTCCGCCCTGCGGATCTCGCGCAGCTCCTCGTCGTGGAAGTAGTTCAGCGTCAACCCGACGTAGAAGACGGCGATGCCCGCGACAAACTGCGCGATACCGCCGCGGCCGAGGGCAGAGTCCCATGCTGAGGCTGTGGTCGGGCCGTAGGCGGCGAGGTAGCTTCCCAGGCATGTAGCGTTCATGAGCTGGAAGAGGACGGCCGAAGAGGCGACGACGACGTGGATTGGGGACATTGAGGGTTGGAGGATCGGAAATAGTACGGCACGGTAGGCGTAGTGGATGGTCTGTAGCGGCGCTCAATTGTCAGTTGGCGATGGTCTGATAAAAGGCAATTAGGAGGAGGGAGGGAAGAGCATACGAATAACCCAGCGAGCACCTTATTCTGCCACGGCAGATCGTCAATGCCGACCTGTCGCGGCAGGGTGCTCATGATGTACAGCAACGTCGTGACGCCTGGAATCTCCATCAGGAACCAAGCCAGGCGGCCAGGGATGTTGAGGCGGCTTGTGACCGAGGTCTTGCCCATGCCGTACCAGTTGATGACATACTGCAGAGAGCCAAACTGTACAAACGTTTGGAAATCAGCGAAGTTTATCCACACGTGTTTTGGCCAAATGGCTCAGAAGATTTGTCATTGCATACCACTGGCCAGGAAAGCTGCCACACGGTCGTGATGGTCTCCCAGTTCTCCCGCGTCGGCGGGAGCCACCCCTCAATCAGTGACATTTTCGGTTCTTTTTCTCGAGTGGTATGAGACGATCCAATCGCAGAGAACTAGAGGAAACAGTGTAGCAGTAAGTAGAAAGAGTCAAGGAAATCCGGAAGAATAAGGTATCGTAGCGTGGTGCGCTTTCCCTCCTGCTCAAGTCCCCCACCGTAGATTGTGCGTAGAGAGTGCAACACAAAATCAATGACATCAAGCAGCTTGGGTGGAATTGGCGGCGGGAGCTCCGGGTCTCGGTCCTGCGACGCGTTGAAGCCCCGTGGTCCCCCGTGGTCCCCTGCAGGTTCACCCACGGCTTGCCAGACCGCTTTCCCCATTTGCCTTAGCGATTGGTGGAGCTCCAAGAGCTGCCCTGCAAATCGGGGAGGTTCCCCTGAGCATCCTGTACAGCTACCCCTTGCAGCCTCCACCACAGCTTGCGGAACACGTCAAAAACTAGAGATCCCTTAATTGTTTCTTGACAAAGTTCCCAAAGATAAGGTAGTCAGAGACCCCAGCGTAAGCCATATGATCATGATTCTTCTTCCAGTCATCAGCTATCGATCCTATAAAGCCACTATTTCCAACGCCGCCCGCTGAGAGGACATGTTTGTACAGCAAAAGGCTCTGTCGACTCTGCTTGTCAGAGTCAAAGTCTGTCCATGCTCTGCGCAAGAATTCAAATGACACGAAAACGCCGCAATCATAGAACGCACCGGAGCTGCGTCTGCTCACATTACGATGCAATCCCTTTCCCTTCCTCCTTGCGAACTTCCTACAACGCCGCCGGGTCCTAGCACGCGACCACGACCGCCGCCCATGCCTGGCCGCGAGGGCGAAAGCGGGAATGACGGCCCAGCACCCCCGTTGCCTTGTCGATTGACAGGACTGCTCGCATGATGGTGAGGGTGTCCAGGAGGTGGTTCGTACTTGGCAGCCGCCTGCGCCTGCTCATACGTCGGCGGGGCATCATCCATGCCTTCGTCAGCCGGCCGGTTCACGCCTTGTCGACGAGCAGGAACCGTCGGTGGAACCAATGGTCGTACCATCTGAGGCGGTTGCCCAGGCTGCCGACCCGACGTGGGCGGTACCGCAGCACTGCTAACGTTGGTACTTGAGTTCCGACGGCTGCCGCGAGAAGCAGTTGAGTTGCCATTGCTGCTGCTGCGTGCGCCGGTGCCTGTTCGGGCAGCCTGCCTATCGGCTGCACGTCTAGTCGTGGGCCCTTGTTGCAGTCGGGCTTGTTGCTCAATATACTGCTCGCTAAGCTGACTCTCGCGCCGACGAGCCGACTGCTCTGCCCGATGGCGTTGTTCCTCCTCTTCCTGCAACTGAAGCGCGAGGGCAAGATCTCGATCCTCCTGCTCATGATTCGGCGACAGGGGCATCTCGTCACCTTGCGCCGGAGCCTCGAGATGCTTGTTGCGGCCACGGCCGGGCACAGTAGTCCAACCTCCTTCATTGGCGCTACTCGTGTCGATTCTCGGTCGGTTATGGGCATTGTTTCTCAGAGTAGGTTGTCCCCTGGAGTTCCCTTGCGGTTGCTCCCCACCCACGATCCTGAAATCGCCAGAATAGTATTCCGTGCGTTCGCCATTCACGTCGGCTAGGGATTCCCAAACAATTTCGTCATGGGTGGCGTAGCCTGCGTCGGTGACGAGGACCAGGAGTTGCTGTGTCGCAGGGTGCCGGTACAGCGTTGAGAAGTGATCGTTCCTAAACAGTATGGCAAAAGAGCCGGGCTTCATAGCCTTTGTGATAACCTCAAGCCCAGATGGCGTCAACTGTGTGGCTGAAGTCTCCAGAAACGCCTTTATCGACTGTATGTCTGAGTATATCCTCTCCTCCTCTTCCGTCAATTCCCCCAGCTTTTCCTGCAGCTCCTCGTCTCGGAATAGGAGCGTCTGCACGTCTTCAAATGAGGCGGCCTGGCGCTCAAAAGCAGGGTAGGCCGGATCATTCTTAGTGGGCAGCCACCCATGAATAAGCGGAATGGCAAAAGCAGCATAGAGCGCCATCTCTCTGGTGTCTTCGAAGGTTCCGGGAATCAAGTCGTCGCGTTCGGTCGGGTGCAAGTGAGTCAAGGAAGTGCGCTTAAAGGCCTTGATGATTTCAGGTGTGGGAACGAAACGTGGATTTACGTTCATTCCTGTGTGAAGACCCTTCAAAAAGGCATACAACTGGGACACATCAGGCAAAGCTTCTTCTGTTCGCCTCATAAGCTCATCGACGACCGCGTCCAGGAGATACCCGAGACTGATTTGCTCCCGAGAGCGGAGGACCTCTATCAAGGCCGTTTCTGATAGAGACGATGGAGTTGTAAGTGTAAGCGCGTTGACCAAAGCAAGAAGAGGGCAAGGGCCGTTGGCATTCTGTACGAGGATGGGCGAAACTCGCGGGTTCTTGTCAGCGCTATGATCGTGCCAACGGACGTTCTTGATCTGGTATGTTTCGGCCTTGCCGTCCACAGGGCGTGGGGGTTGGCGCGGAGGTTGCTCTTCATCGTCGTTCCGCGGAGGTAATGCTGGCGCTATTTTGTCGTCGGAGACCTGATCGGGCCTGTCGCGCGTTTGATCCGGCATTGGCGATCTGCCCGGCGGAGGGCCAGCGGGCGGTTCGACGTCGATGAGGTTCCAATCATCCATGGGCCCGTCTTCGACTGTGGGAGGAGGGATAACGGGAGCGGGGGCGGGGGCCTTCCCCTTGCCCTTGTTCTGTCCGCCTTCGTCGTCCCAGGCATTCTGGTCTGCAACTGCATCGTTGGGAATGGATGCTACAGGTAATTCTAGTGGTTTCTTGCTCTGGTTCTCCGGCAAGTCGTCCCATGCCGGTGAGGTAGGTTCTGAGGGGAGCGATAGCAGTGCTGGAGAGGTCGAAATAGCGGGCAATTTTGGCTCTTGCGTTGCAGCCCATGCATCGCGCTCAGACTCTCCGCTATTCTGAGTACGCAAAGAATGCTGGGCGCTGGCGGCGGCAGCTCTCTGAGCATGTTGGTCGAGGGCAGGTTGCCATGGATTATTACTGATCTCGCCGGTGCTCATCTGCGAGAGTGGCTGCGCTGGAGGCATCGTTGGGGTCCCGTTGGTGGGCGGCGATGTTGGAACAGAGTCGTCGCGGACTTCCTTGCGCTTGAACGGGTTTGTGTCGGATCGTGAAGGTGGCGCTCCTGGTCGTAATACCAGTGGGATCTCATTGGACTCGCTTCTTGTCTCGCCGGCGGTATGAGGTTGGTTGCCGTCAACGTCATTCCATACTCCGTTGGCCATCTCGGGGGCCTGTGCCGTGACCCCGCCGGGCTTCAGAGATTCGGGAATGTCTTGGGGTATCGTTTGTTGGTTCAGAGCAGCGGCGCCCCTTTGCTGAGGAGCATCGTCCCAAACACTGTCTACGTCGGAAGGAGAATCGGTTGCGCTCCAGAGCTCCTTTCGCATGTCTTCAATTCGCGGGGCAGCAGTGTTGGTGTCGAGGGAGGTCTCGTTCGAGACGGGCTTTCGGGTAACCATGTCGACGAGGGTCCCGAGGTCTCGGACTTGGGTAGTCGTAACGGAAAGAATTCGTAAGGGCGACTGTCGTTTGTCGCAAGCAAAGGGAAGCTATGCAAAATCAGAATATCTTCGATTTGGCCGAAACTCTGCGGCTGGGAGAGCTACAGGTGTGGTTGAGGATGTCTGGCAAGCGGCTAGGCGAGAACGAGGGCGCAGGTGAAGGTGAGATTGAAGCTCCAGTGGGTGTCGTCATTCGTAGTGGGCTGTGAATAGAAACCTCTCAATTATTGCACTGGAAGCGATCAGCAGCCAACAAGAGACAATCGACCAACGGCAATCCCGGAACCGTTTGGTGAAATAGGTAATCAAAACGGCAGGCTCTTGAAGCCCGGTGTATCCCGAATGCTGTGATTGACAGGCTGCCGAAAAGGATGAAGCCAAATGTCTGGAGGTTGCAGGAAAGAGAGTCTGAGGAACCTTGGAACGGAACTTGCTGGGAAGCCAACAGAGCACCTCAATGGAAGCCAAGACCAGCCTGCAGCAGCTGCGGCGGCAACGAGCAAGCAGTGGCCCTGACAAGGTACCTGTGCTGGTACAGATACTGGACGAATACACCAGGAGAATCACTGCACTGTATTCGTACACCTCAGCAGCCGTCGTAACGGAGACAGCCCACGCAACCCGTCGGGACGCAAGCACACGGCACAACGCTGGCAGGTTGCGGGCGGGCATGCACGAGTAGCGGTGCGCCTTACACTTTCAGGTTTCGCTCCTTCCAAGATCCCCAACCACCTCCTCCCAAGTTTGAGGTGCCTTACCCTACCTCGAGAGGTACTCCGTCAGGTAAGGTACTTCGTATTGCGGTACGTACTGCTGACTGGACATCTTTTTTCGTCCCGGATTCCCCATCTCTTCTATCCGTAGAGACTCTTTCTGTCGACCTCTCTCACATCAATGCACCTCGACGTTTAGAACTGGATCCGACCGATTTTTATTTCGCGCATTACTTGACTGGATATGTATAAGAGATGCCAACGAAATTCCTCAAGAATTGGGACAAACGCTCATCAGCACCTACCACTGTTGCCTCAAATCTCCAATACTAAGTTCTCAGCAAGACATGGAATCAACCCTCAACACCACCATCCGCCTTGCTTCACCGTCAACTTCGTACCATCGCCTCTCCGCTGCGGCACGACCAAGTGGGCCCCTAGGCGCAGACCCGGCGCGGCACAAGCACCTCGAGTTACGCGGACAGGGTACCGCAGCTGCCACCAGAAGCTCTCTCGCAGTCTGTAGAGCGCTGAGGCATGGTACGAAGACAAGACAACAGCGGCAATTCCACTATGCTCATTGACTGGCCCTGGCAAGACGTCGCCCTGTGGGAATATCCTTGGATACATCCTCGAGTCGTCTACCGACTGCACAAAGCGGAATCGCCAGGCAACAGCATACATGCAGGAATCATATGAGACCTACCTACTACAACACAGCAAAGCATCGTTGCTCGCATAGGGTCAAAATGTCACGGGCCAATG